GCCGTCAGATAAAAAAATATCAAACCATGTATTGCGCCACTATTTTAACAGTTATTATATTGTTTGTTCACAACGTGAGCCCTGGATCGGGCCGAGCCCCAGAATATCCAGAAATCCTTCAGGGCAATTGCAGCGAAGCAAAAGATTCGGAGATGGTCTATCACGAGATTGTGGATAAGGGCGAGATCCCTTTGATGTCCAGAAACGAGACCTCCACTTGGTATGGCGATGAAAAATTGTACTGTATCAAAGTGATCAACGAATACAACAAGCAGTATGGAAAGGGAGGCGGCACGGTGTTTATAAAACACGGCGGGCTCGGCCACTACTTTGTCATCCTCGAAATGCACACTCAAAAGGGCGGCGCCATGAAATTTCTGGTATTTTTATATGGAAAGAAGACTAAATAAAGATTTTTATTTACTTTCTTGACTGCGTGTAATTGTGATTATATTCTTACAGGGTTGGCTTGATTTTTTTTAAGTGATTTAATTCACCTGACTTTTTTGGATAAAAATCACGATTTACATCAAAGTTCATTTTTTCAAGAAACTTTCCACTCAAAAAATATAAACGAGAACACAAATAATTCTAAGAAATGCAAATCAAAATAGAAAATGGTACATGTGGAACTTAAAAATTAAACGGTACTAATGGTAAACTCAATAATACTAAAACGGAAATCACTTCTCTTTATCTTCATTTTCGTTATAAAGTGTGTGCTCAAAATCATCCAGACTACAGCAAAGTACAGAAAGTACATTATACAGCTAAGGCAGGAGGTATGAAAATTTTGCAATTCATGATTATATCAAAATATGAATATTATTGGACATTAAATTTATTTTACTACATATGAAGTTTTAAAACTATCAAAAATCATTTTTGATGTTTCCATTAGGAGTGTTTATAATATAATTAGAAATTATGAACAGAGTCATACTTTACGACCATCAAAAAAGTATTATAGGCACAGAAGTATTCTGGATAATGTTGATGAAGGAACAAAATATGCTGTCCGTAGGATTGTTCATTCATTTTATATAAAAAATGAGCCCCCGACTGTGAAAAAAATCTTGGCACGAATAGAGGAAATTGAACACATTCCCAATTTTAAAGAAACGACTTTTCGACACTCGCTAAGGGAAATTGGTTTTCGGTTAGTAGTTATATCTGTATGTATGTTATTAAAAAGTCTGAGCATATATAAGTTGAATGTTGCAAACTTTACTGATTTTGAAAAATGTGCAAATGGAACTTATTCCTGATGTTTCGAAAGCAAGAGTGGTTGGAAGATATTCTGTACACTACATGATAGTGTTTGTGTTTCAGTTATGCAAAGAAAATTGTCTTCTAAAAGAAAAGGGAGAAATAATATGCTGGAGGCGGAATTATTTACGATCCATAAAAAAGTTCGACAAGAGAATAGAAAGGCTTATTATCTAGATGAAACGTGGATCAACGCAGGTCATAGGGTTTAAAAAATTAAGCGTTTGTACAAGGACTATCTACAGGTTTAAAAGCTCCATCAGGAAGAGGCAAACGCTTAATTGTACATATCGGTTCAGAAAACGGGTTTGTTCCAGGCGGTGAATTGGTTTTTGAAGAGTGGTTTAAAAATATTCGCCTCGCTTAGATGAGGGCAGCGTTATTGTTTTGGACAACGCATCATATCATAGCAGAAAGCTTGATAAAAATACATCATCTGCCACAAAGAAGGCTGAAATTCAAAATTGGCTAGAAAGAAAAATTATTGCCTATGAACAAGATATGCTGTAGGTAGTCCTTACAAAGCAGATTTAGTAAATGCGAAGAGCTACCATACGTTATAACTTCAGAGTCTCAGTGAAAGTGTGAAGTAAAAATTAGAATATCGTTTATTTCATTACGTTTCGGCGCGCCATCATCAGATTTAGAATTTACACAAACTAGAAACACCAATTCACAATTTTCTTTCTTGAAACCTTAAATTTGTTTGATGTAAAATGTAGAAAATAATTCAAACAAATTTAAGGTTTCAAGAAGGTAAAGACCTAAAAGAACGTAATGTTTACCAATTATTAGGTAAGTTTTTCAAATGTTTTCCCAAAARGAAGGATTTTTTCCCTCAAGAACTGATGAATGTTTTATAAATTATAGTTTTTCAACAACATTAATTGTGAATTGGTGTTTGTAGTTTGTGTAAATTCTAAATCTGATGATGGCGCTGTTGTCTCGCCAAAACGTAATAAAATAAACGATATTCAAATGTTTACTTCACACTTTGACTGAGACCCAGGAAGGATTAGCAGTTTTCGATACAAGGGCGAAAAGTGTCGTTTTTCGAACGACGACGGCGTTTCACGTGTCAGGAGTTCGAAAAACGGATTTTCGCTCTCGTATCGAACAATATTTTTTATTCCAATCAAGGACATAACACGAATAATAAGTTATAATAAATAAAAATAGAAGCCGTCAACTTCATATTTAAAATTTGATGTCAATGTCATTTTTGAATTTGTCATGTTTTGAGGTTTGCAATTTTTCAAAAGCGTACTTTTGTAAGCATATGCTAGTGAAACCATGAGTGTTGAAAATTAAAGTGCTGCTTTCACGGTATAGTGTTTGTATAAAATTTGCGATCTTTAAAAAAATGTGTTTTGCTTGTGGCAAGATCAGCGAGCGAAGAAACATAGACATACATTACAACTTGTAACAAAGATGTAATTTAGAAATTGTAAGTAAACTTTAAATTATGATCMATAGTTCTCTATAAACCTACGTAAWKCATTAAAAAAGACTGTGTTTACTTTTTAATRAAAATACTTTAAAATATTTTATGASAGTGACAGGTTCAATTTGTCACATTTASTTTTGCGCRCATGTGCAAAAKTCTGTGTGAAAAATTGCACTTTTAGATTCATTCAAATAAAAAATAATATAATAACTAAATAAAAGTTCCAAATATTTTTTTCGCATTCACTTTGTCTATCAATTKCCTCCATGAGATCGAATAGGGCTTGCGAAGTAAATTCAGCGTTGTGAGGAGTGCGAAGTTGGTTGCAGGTGTCAATGTGAAGTATCGACGTGGAACAAGTACACATTTTTAGTTTAGAAATTATCGTAAAACCAACATGGCCAACAAGAATCGATATTCCAAAACCAGAAAAATTTCTGAAGTTTTAAATGGCTGCAGACTTGCGGCTAGCGCCCTCTAGGATGAATTTTGTATTGACAGTTTGACACCCCTGTATCTTAGAAACTATTATAACTTTCAGATAAGACAGATTTGCCTGAAATGGATTTTGTGGCATTAGTTGACCACCGTGTATAAAAACTAGCAAGGGAATGAATTGTGAGCGCGTACCAAACAAAATCGAGTAACTTTTCCGCATATACTTTTACCAGTAAAAGGAACTAGTGAATAAAACACCCGAATCAACCTAAAGGTAAATTAATTTTATTTAGCGCCTTAAAAGGTTGCAAGTGGCCTTCCATTTAGAGTTCGCGCTGTTTCTCCAAAGTTACTGTAATTAAGTCTCCTTTTAATACTTGGTACATAGACTCTTGGGTTTATTTTAACTTCCTTTTTTAGCTTGAAAGGCTAGCTATAAGAGTCATCGGATTTAATTCCATGAATGTCTCTTAAATGCACAGTTTTGTATTCCACAGTTATAAACTCTGAGCAGTGCTCGCATTTTTCCAGGCCATGAACCCGCGAATTAACATGTGCTCTAAGGCCATGAGCGGTGGAAAAGCCTCGCTGGCAGATTTGGCAAAAAATCGTTTTCTCTTCTTCGATCCCGTGGACGCCTTTCAAGTGAGTTTGCATTGTTTGTTTGATTTTGAAACCTTTACCGCACACTTGACAATGGTAGCGACTCTCCTTCGTGTGAACTAGTTGATGGGTAACGAACTGCGTTCTTCTGCCGAAATCTTTTCCGCAGTATTCGCACTTGTAGGGTTTGATTTTCTTGTGAGTTATATTGATGTGGGTCTTCAAATGCACTGGAACAAGAAATTGATGGTAAGAAGCTTCGTAGGATTGACGCGAAAAAATCCTACGTTTTTCGTAAAACTTCTTGCCACAAATCGAACATTCGTAGTCTTTTTCGCCATTGCCATGTTCCTTCTTTTCGTGCCTTTCCAGCATGAACCGCACCCTGTAGCCTTTGCCGCATTTATCGCACATGTACCTGTCTGGGGTGGTTTTGTGATAATAATTAATGTGGTCCTGCAGGGCCTGAAACACTAATTAGTTAATCGCTGAATATTGAAAATAACACGCGCTGTAATAATTGAAATTCACCTGGGCGTTTTTTGACGTTTTGCCGCAAATATCGCAAACAACTGGATCATAATTATGCGTTATTAAATGGTTTTTCATGTTCATGCCAAATAAGATTCTGCCGCAGTCCGGACAAGCGACCCTCTCCTTTCTATTAACAGTTTTCAAAAATTCCTGATGCTCAGGCTTAATGTCGTATTGCACTTTAATAGACAGCGGGGGTCCAGTAGCTTTTCTTTTGAATTCGATTTTTTCTTCTACTGATTTTTGTCTGTTGATCCGTTTCTTTCTGAACTTTATTTCCTTGTTTGGGGTCTTCCTAGTGGGCCTTCGCCTGGATAGTGCGCTCTTGGCAGGCATCAGGTTTGCAGTTATTTCACACTTGCCTACTTTTGATTCATTTGAGGCTAGTGAGCCAACTGGGACTAACTGCGGATCAGATGGCTCGTTCTTTGTATGGCTTAAGTCTTCACAACGCTCAGCTTTATCTAGTTTTGGACTTGTTTCGTCGGTTGACGTGGGTTTTTTAGTGTCGCCCATTTCAGCTGGAGATGTATTTAGGACGTATTCCACATATTTCTCGACATTGAATTTGACCTCATCCATTAAGATTTTGTGGGAGTTGAGGATTTGATATCGCGTTAACATAGCCGATTTTACTTCTTGGTGGCACTGCAGGCAAGACGTGGTTGGCAGGCCATCTTCGGGCTCAATCTGCAAAGGACAAAGCAGTTCTTGAACGGTTTATTCGGACTTTCATTGTCTGACATACAGTTTGTTCTAGTAAATTTGAATAGTACACTTACCTGGAGGCCCGTTAGCTTGTGGATCATATCAGGAAACGTTTCGTGAAATATTTCTACATAATGGTCGGTCATTTCTAAGCACAATCTACATCTGCTAAACTCCATTTTAGAGGTTTAACGTAGAATATCTTGTAGAAAATGCAGGAAAGCGAAAAAGTTTGAGCGTTTCACTGTCAAAAAAATAAACATATATGAAGGCAGCTGTTGTTCTGTCATCCGGACTGCCTGCAGTTCGTTAAACTGAAATTATTTCAATAATATTGGACCAGTTTTGTTAAATAATTTATTTCAGTTCAGATACATAATTGTACTAATTAGTACAATTAGTTTTATAAATACCAAACATAAATAAACTGATAAACTGCACTTAATGCGGCATAATACAAAAAAACACATTCTAAAAGAAGAATTACATTTCGAGAAAAATATAAAAAGAACTATAAAACTAGTTCCTATTAAGACACGCGCCCAAAAAAAAATTAAAAATATAATGCCGAGTTTATGGGTTTTTCGAGCAGATCGCCCAGCCACGCCCTTGTTGGCAAAAACAAAAATTAATTGCAAATATCCCACTAAATTAATAAAACACCATAACAATTTAAACAAAATTACGAAGCTTTCGATGTCCCATGCTCATCACGTAGATGATTAATCATATAATCACTTGTAAACATCTCCGAACAATAGAGACATTTCTCAGTTTCGTGAATTCTGGAGTTCAAATGGGCCTTCAACGCCACTTCGGAAACAAAGCCCCTTTTGCAAATATCACAGAAAACCTTTTGTTCTTCGTGAACGTTGTGAATTCCTTTCAAATGAGTGCGCAGCGTGAGTTTCATCTTAAAACTCTCTCCACACATGTGACAGTTATAAGGAGTTTCCTTGGAGTGGATTCTTTCGTGGATCTTGATATGGTTTTTCGATTTAAAGCTTTTTCCGCAAAAATCGCACACGTAGGGCCTGATGTTTTTGTGCGTTTTGTCCACATGCCTCTTAAGATGCACTGAAATTAAGAAAAACATTTAAAAAAATTAAAAAAATGTTCGCCTGTTGATGTGATGAATAAAAGCTGCAACAAAAATTTTATTATTTCAAAAAATACATTTACCACGCCCCTACCACAGTCAGAAGCTTAAAAACAATTTGTAAAAACCCGGTTAACTCTCCATCCACACTGTCACGTCCAGCTGATACTTGTCACTTTTGACTCCTAACCTATTGATGTGACAAATGTAGAAAAACACTGGAATTTAAAAAAGGTCTTTTTTTATTTTACCAGTCTGAAAAGAACCGCGTGCTAGTATACTGAGAATCAAAGGGAAAAATCATGGAATTTGGTAGGCCACGGGATTTCTCCGAATTTTACGACCAACTAAACGAACTGCGAACCAAGTTTCGAAACTGGGATAGTTGTGAAAAAACTGTGGCCCTTTACTACTTAATGGTGGGCCTGCCCTTTGCCAACGCCAAATTCCTGCAAAATGCTCTGGATCAGTTGGTCACCACAATCAATAATAAGGAAGCTCAAGTGATGGAGCAGAACGCTAATGATCCCGAAGTGATTCAGAAGTTCTTGTCGGAGAATCCTCAGTCTGCGCTTTGTCTGCTGCTGAATCACCTTCCACTGCTCAGGCCCGGAAACAAGGACGCTGCCAGATGCTACTTAAGTACTATACAAAGAATTTTAACTGAATGTATCACGCCTCCATTTAAAAAGATCTACAACGAATGTGTCGAGATCATGTCCTACGTGTACATCCACCCAGCGTTTGATAAGGAAGATAAGACGATGTTTAAGCATCTGTTGAAGCAAGTTTTAAATCGAGTCACTCCAGACAACTTCATCCATTCCCCGGTAAATGAGGCAAACCCTCAATTAATTAGCAATAGCGCAGACTTTGCACAAGATAAGAAAAGGTCAAACAGTTTAACGCCCGTTATATCCTGTGTGACTGATACAGAGAGTTGGTCTTCGCAGGAAAATTTGGTACAATCCTATCAGAAGCCCAGGAGTTCCTCGTTGTGTTGCGAAAAGAACATAGCTGAAAGTACATACATTCAGTCAAGCAGTTCAGACAGCAAGCTGGAGGAGGTTTTAAAGAACAATTTTCCCTTAATGAAAAGTGTACTGGCCTGGTTAAAATCGATGAGGCTTCACAAGTACAGCTGGCTGTTCCACGATCTAACAGTGAACCAAATGATGAATCTCAGTGAGGAGTATTTGATCGAAGCTGGGGTGACGAAAGGCGCCAGACAAAAGATGTTACTCAATCTGGAAAAGTTGAAGAACAGAAAGAAACTACTCTCAGACCTGGAGATCGGGCTGATGAATGGCAGTAACGTGTATGAAGCGCTTAAGGAACTGAAGGCGGTTTCGCAAACGCCCATGCAAATATCGCCCGGTGATGATTTGTGCTCCCAATTTATAAAAGTCGTGGGCAAAGTATGCACGCAACTCCTTATGCTGAGACATCCCACCGACGAAATTTTGTTGCTTTTTAACACAGTGTGCGAAAAGGCCAACGCATTGGAGTGCTTCACTACAGAACAGAAAAAGAAGCTGATCATGTGGAAAGAACAGCTCGATGTCAGAAACATGTTCAAGCCGTGCCATCAGAGGACGGCGAGTCGAAACAACCACAGCAATCACTTCAATACGCCAACTTTCCGACTGTTTGAAGAACCAAGACATTCGCCATCAAACACCCAGAAGAGTTCTTCATACCCAAATATGCAGGCCAATTCTAGTTTACATATGCATAGACATTCAGTGGATAGTGTAACACTACGAAGTCAACTCCTGCATATCAAGCATGCAGAATCATACAGCTCGCAAAATGCAATAAAATTGAATTCATCGAAATTGAAAACCAAGTCAGAACCTCAGTCCTTGAAAAATAATTGTGATATCGAGAACAGTTTGGAGTCTTTATGTATACAAATGATGGAACATGCGTTAGGTCCGTAAGTTATGTAATTTACATGTTGTAATTGAATTGTGACAAATTGTGTGTTGAAATGCGCAATTTTTATTGATGCACTGTAGGTATTAAATACCAACAAAACCGTTCTAACTCAATGTTAACTAGTCTGATTCGTCGTGTGTAGATATAAGTAGGAACGATTATTTTTTGACAAAAAGATGCTAATTTATTTTATTACACTAAGTAAGAATTTATGACGAGAATAAAGGATAATGTTGTACCTTTACATTCATACTTGTTTTTGGTTTGTTATTTCAAAATTTATTTTACTCAATATTCAATTATTCAAATATCAAAAAGATATTCAAATTTCGCTTTCTGTGTCAAAACTACTTGAATTTCCTCACTCATGTTGCTGTTTCTGAATCGACTTTTCAATTCTCTATCCAACGATGCCAAAACGAATTCTCTGGCTCGGATCGTTCTTGAGAAACTTCGAAAAAAGCAGCGTCATGTTCAAGTGGATTTTGCAACTCAAAAAAAACCACGCACTTGAACTCAAGCATTTTTTGAGAAAACTGCCAACATTTCCCCATCCATGGTTCACTTTCTAAAAAGGCCATTTATTTCTGTCTAGAATGATATACAAATGAGCGTTCTTGCTCATTTTGCCTCAGAGAAATGAG